GGCTGCCACGAATTACATGAGCTTTCTAGACTTTATCTGGATCTTTGATATAGGGATAGACAGGTGGACTAATATACGATCATGCATCACTTAAGGGCAGGAATATGTTCTGAGAAATCTGCTGTTAGGTGATTTTGTTCTTTTGTGAATCTCATAGAGTGTACTTACATAAACTAAGACTGCTATGACCTCACTAGGATATATGATCTACATGGGATCACTGTTGTATATGTGGCCCACGGTTAACCAACATCTCATCATATGGGTCATCACACTGTGTGTGTATGAACATTTTTTCTCTTGTCAAGTAAAAGTAACATACCTGGAAGATGGGCCTTTTTCAATCCTGAACCTGGGTGACCTCTGACTCTCCAGCAGCACAGTCATTATTTTAAGCACCTGCCTGTGAACCGGCTCTCTCCAATGTCAACAGTTCAACACCTCTGGGCTGTAGGACTCACTGAATCATTTCATGCCATTGACTACTCCTTCCCTAGTTCAGCTCTCTGCTTTGGAATATTTCTTCTGTCTGATTTCTTCCACTCTCTCTGCTCATACAGTCTCTCTGTTCTCCACACTTTCCCCCTGGGGTGACCTTGTCAAATCCTTATCTTTAAATGCCACTGAGACCATACAAGCCTCCAAATTCTACTTTCAGCACAAATGCCACTAACAGGATTCTAGACCCTCACAATCAGGTGGACAGGCACCTCAGAAAGGTATTTTTAATGGAACCCATTTCCCTCCCCTAACACCTGTTCCTGCTATATTCTTATTCCATTTTGTGGCATTTGGGGCCATTCAAATCGCATAGCCAGGAATGCAGATACCCACATAGGTCCTTTTTTTTGCTTTGTCCCCTGCCATCTCCATCTCACTAGTAACTAAATTCAGATTAGTTTACTCTTTCTTAATGTCTGKCCCATCTGTTCTGACCTGAGCACACCTACGCAGCATTCACAGTTCAAGCCTTCATCCTTTACTTCATTCTTCGATTATAAAAATGATCTCCTAACTAACTGTTCTTCCTGCCACCAGCCTGGGCCTCACTAAATCTATCCTTCCCTGAGTTGTACAAGTCATGTTTTTAAATCGTAAACATGATGTTTTTAAAAGATCCCTTTAAAGATCCTTTAATGCTTCTCATGGCTTTCATAGTTGGGTGCATATTCTTTAGCTTTCACTAACTTGTTCAGGCCTTTTGTTTAGACATAGAAAAGTTTACTGGCTTTTTGAAATGTGCTTACCACATGTCCATGGGTCAGATAGGCATGTAATTTGGCTGAGAGCAACTTGGTAAACACGACAGTTAGGTTGAAATCTAATTTCCAGTGTTGGTGTACCACAGGGATGCCCCCGGACTCTGTTCTATCTGGAAAACAACGTTTCAGCTGTGATTTTTCAACCAATCGTTTCTTTTAAGGGTTTTGGGAAATTGAAAGATTAGAATAATCAAATGCTAAGAGATGAGTTGGAACAGACAAAATGCCTAACACCGGAAGACTAATCAAAATAATCTAGATATTTGACAGCTGGTGAAATTGATTAAATAAAATGTGGGGGGTATAATGGTATATAAGCTATCTTTCCATTTTCATAGAAAAAAATAGTTTCATGTGTGTTAAAATATGCAAGAAGGATTTTAAAAGTTACATACTTCAAAGTTATCAGTAGTTCTTCTGATCACATGCTATTTTTATAAAAAGAAAAGACCATACAGAAATCATAAAACTCCTCTTTTTAATCCACCAAGGTTATAATACTTAAGGAAAAAAAAACAGGGAAATGTTAACTTTTTACCAAATTGATGTTTTTACAGAATTACATAAAATTATATGATTTCTGGCCATTTTCTATACTACCCTGATTCCTCAAACTGAAATATCTTTTCTCATAATTAGACTTTTTAAAAAAAAACCCTGGTGATTTCTCTATCCTTTAAAATATACAAATAAAGGTAATACCTTCTCTGATAAGCTTTTCTTCACTTCATCTCTACTTTAGATCAAGGATCAATGGTAAAATGTGTCTTACAGGTAAAATCTATCCAACACCTATTTTTGTACAGCTCATAGATGAAGAAGAGTTCTTCTTATTCATCTGGAAAGGTTGATTTCTTAGGATTTCCACTACTTTGAGGTAGAAGACATTTTCTAGTTCAAGCTGGTCTCCCAGCATTGGGCACAGTTCCTCCTCCATAGGATTCACTGGATAAGGACATGCACAGGTGCCGGAAAGAATAGTGTGAGGTCCCTCCTTACRTGGGAATATAGTCACATGAGGATGGGGCTTGAACTCTTTTGCTCACCAAGCCTCTCCAGCATCTGGAGGAGTTTCTGGAACATGGTATGCACTCAGGAAATGTCTGCAGATTTTAAGTGCACCAATTGTGGTACATATTTCGGATCCTTCTAAGTCTTAGGTCAATTCTTAGACTTTTATATAATGTATGTGGTGATTAATGGACCTAAAAGTCCACCTTAGCATCCTCAGAGAAACAAAGAAGAAATAGTTTTGACTATGTCACAAAAGGAATAAGTTACGAGCTCTTTTCAAGAGTATATTGATCACCTTGTCTTTAGAGTATCTCCATATAGACATTGCAGCCTGTCACTACCTCTTCCTTTCACCCTCATAGCAACCATCTCAGGGCAAGTGTTAAATCAAGATCCTGCTGATACAGAGTTATTAAATACCTGTGGCAGCAGGGCCTGTGAAGCAGCATGAGACTCAGCATTCTGGCCTGATTTCAAATCAGAACTAGGTGTATTTTCGGAGGTCCACGTGTATGTATAAATCATAGCCTAAACGTCTCAACGGGTCTTGGACAGCCTTTCTCCCAGTGAGTTGAAAGCTCTTTATAGAAGATGAACTAATTAGTTTCATACCAGCTTTGTGAGTTTGCAGAGAGTATGAACTAGGGTCCCCATCCTGTGTTGAATAATGACTAACATAAAATCTTACATGTTTATAGTACTAGATTCTGCAATAGCACATTCTAGAAATCTTTTTTTTTCCTTAATGATAAACATCACTATGTCTTATTATGAACTTTATAGTGTTCTCTTTTGTGGATTGAATGTGAAGGTCCATATATTTATTTGGATTTTGCAGAATGCCTAGTAAAAGCGCATTCTGCAGTCTCTGAAGTAGGAGAAAAGCTCCAGCAAGGTAGYTTTTTATGATGCAAAAGAGAAAATATGTCTTCTAGTCACTCCTTTCTGAGAAGGCCTGGCCAGTCTCTCCAGTCCAACCAGCTCCTGTCAACACAACACTAGCTCTTCCCTCCTCATTCCGGAGGGCTGCCACATACCTTTTCTGGGACTCCTGTATGCTCTTATCAATGACCAGATTGTCAGCAGACACTTGCTCCTCTGCCTCAACAGGATGGAATTGGAAGCTGTTCACCTGTCACTCCAGCCCCTCTATGTAGGAGAACCCTGACATTGTGCACACAGTACTAGGGGGAAGAAAGGTCTGACTTGACTTTATAGTCTATGCATGAGTGCATACATACATACATACATACATACACACACATACACTTTTGAAAACCTAAACAACTTTTATTTCTTTAAGCAAGAGTAAACATGATGATTGTGAATGCTAATACAAGGAAGTGAAACAGAGAAATGACTTCCAAGGGAAATAACCACCTCCATGGGGTTTAAAAATGAGGAGCCTTTGGAGGATTCCAGTCAGGGTGGAAGCATTGAGGGGCAATGACATGGAAGGAACCTGCKTTATGTAGTCATGTTTTCCTAACTTTTCTGTGCCTTAGTTTCTTTGTAAATACAATGGGGACACCGCATTTCAAGGCTGTGAAATATATTGGAGACATCACTCACCTACCACCCTCTTAGCTCACTGGGCCTCTGGAATCCTCTTGAAGTGATTACAATGGCTATTCTTATTCAGGAAGAGAATGGATAAACAATGGGAATAAACTTATAGAAACAAAYCAAGGAAGTGTCAAAGAAGATTTCTAGAGAAACATAGTCTTCTTGATTGGAGGTACCCAAAGCTCTGTCCATGAAGCAAATCATTACTGAACAGATAGCCCTGAGAGCTTGTGGAGACCACTGTTCTAATCTGTAGGAAACAAAAGATACATGGCTAATCATAGTTAATGCAGAGGACTTTTGAAAGGATTTATAGCTTTCATACATGAAGAGGGAGAACTAGAGTGGAGCCAAGGTCATCTCTGATACATCTTTCTTTGATGGGAATTTGGATGCCTTTCCATCAACACAGGATGGAGGGGAATAGCAGGGAATACATCAGCCATGTCATGAGGTATGTTTCATGGATGTTGGCATCACCACAGTTGTATAAGGGGAAAAAAGAAGCAAAACACCACTGAGACCCACTGTTCAGGGAGGGTTCCCAGGGAGACCTGAATGGTGTGTCTTTAGCATTAGTCCAAAGATGGCTGGGAATTTGGGGGTTTGCCTCTCAGGCATTCCTTTGGCACTTATTTGCTCCCTATCAAGAAACTTCCTAACTTTCTACTTATTCCCCTCAGAAATAATTGGTTTACATAATAAATGACTGAATTAACCACCGGCTTCCATCATACCTAATGGAAACACAGGTCCATCCACTTTCTTCCTGGCTCTAATATCAATGAATCCAGAATGATAAAGGTGACCCTTTTATCCTTTTGTTTTATTGTTACAAGAACCAATTTGGCAGGGGTGTACTGGAGATTGAACCCAGGGCTGCTTGACCACTGAGCMACACTCCCAGCCTTTTAAAAAAAATGTTTAATGTTGAGACAGAGTCTCGCTAAGAGGACAAGGCTGGCCTTAAACTTACAATCCTCTTGCCTCAGCCTCCTAAGTACCTGTCATTATAGGCATTTGCCACAGTGCCTGGCACAAGAGCCCATTAAAGAAAGTTCTTGATCCCAGTCCTTTAGAAAGAGATATGGTCAAATTTTCTTAGACATAATGAAATAACAAAAGGCAAATGCTAAGGACTCAAACCTTTTGAGTGAGAATGTAATATTTTTAATATTCAGCAATGTTACATACATATCTGACAAATGTACCAACTCACAGAAAAATATTAGTCTGACTTTTTTAAAAAAAGAAAAAAATAACCCTTGGATCCAAATTTATTTGGATTACAAAAATAATAGCACATTTCTTAAACTCCTGACAGCTCCAAGTCACCAACACATCCAGAGATATGAAGAGCATTTTTAACCACTTCTTGTCCACACAAATCCCACGAAAATTAAAAAAAAAACCCAAAACTTTATTTTCATATTTACAGAAGAAACATGCTGATTGYTCCTTTAAATTCTCTTTGGAATTTCTGGGTGAAGCTATTTTTAAAGTCAGAGAACATTTCAAATTAAAGGCGGCAACTGAAAACATCCCATGATGTATTTTTACTTAACACCATTGAACAGTTCTGCATACTCTTCTAGAGACTGTTTTTATCGCAGAGCTTCTGGAACTTCCACCTACAAATACAGGGAATTTCTTTCAATGAAGCAACACAAAACACATACACACAAAACACATACACACACACACACATAGATAGATATCCATAGGGTCTGTCTCTACCAGTATATTGTGAGAAAAACCCAAATATAGGGTTGATTATTGCTGCATATATACCCACATTTTATATTATAGATCAGGCTGTCCTGCTTGCAACTTTGTTTAATATTTTTGACAAATGATGAATCCTCTTGGAATGTAGACTGTACTCCCTGACTTTCATATTAAGGAAACTGGATTTTTTATATGTTGGAATGTTTTAAAGGGGTCTTGGCCCTCAAAAAAACTGAGTTGCTAAGCAGGTGGCTCAAGCACGGCCCTCAAATGGAAATGTGCTTATTCATGTACCTGCGTCTGACACCTTGCTTGGTRTACTTGCTCTCACATACTAAAATATTTAGAATACTAATAAGTATTTGGAGAGGTGACTTTGGTACCACCAGGCAACGGGGTACAACTCACTTATTAACTCTGTGTCTGAAGTTCTGTTCTGGGGTGACTTACCCTCCTTAGCTGTCTTATGCTGCTTCCCCGAATTGCTTCCATGAGGTTCTCATGAGCTGATCTCTGTGGGGTAGAAGGTCGGGAACTGTCTTCCATTTTCTTTTCTTGCACGGACCTCAGAGAATTTTTTATTTCCTTTAGGATATTGTTTGGCTGTTTCTTAACCCTTTTTCCTTTTTTCTTTTTCTGTCCATTTTGCAGTGCTCGCTGGGCACTCTCCTGTTGTTTGATGACTTCTGCGATGTTTCTGGTGATGATCTTTTTCTCTGGGAGAGGGGGAGCTGGAGGAGGGGGTGGAGGAGGAGGGGGTGGAGGGGGAGGCGGAGGCAGCTTCTGGGGAGGCAGAGGTGGAGGAGGAGGGGGGGTGGCCACAGGAGATGGAGGTCGGCTCCGCACAGTCTGCACTTTCTTGGGGAGTTTGGGGGATGACCAGGGAGATTGCCTGGGAGATGCATAAGGTGAAGAGCCAGGTGTTCCTCTTTGCCAGACTTTGGTCCTAAGGTTGGATCCTCCATCATATCCCTCTTGCTGTTTTTGCTCCTGCATCCGCTTTTGCCTTTGCTTATCCATATTTCTCGTTAAAATGCTCGTCATGCTCATTCTTGGTCCTGGGAGCTCGAAGTGGTATCCCAGCCTCAGCAGCGTCGTGTTCTCCTTCAGCAGCTTGACGATCTCCATCTCCACCTGGCTGCCCATGATATGCCTCTGGTTGTGGAAGCGCAGCTCCGTGAGCACCGTGTTGTGCTGCAGAGCCCTCATGATGGCCAGGATCCCCTTTCCCGTGATGAAGTTGGAATCCACGTTGACGTTGGTGATGTGCTCGTTGACCTTGAGCATGTCCGCGATGGCCACGGCCGCGCTGTCGTCAGCGTGCGTGTTGGCCAGGCTGAACGTCTTCACCACCGTGTTGTCCTTAAGGGCCTCGGCAAAGCGGGTGAGGGTCTGCGACGTGATGTTCTCTATGTTGTTCAGGTTGACTTCTGTGGTGTCGGGGTCATTGTTTCTAATCTTTTCCAAAGCATCCTCAATAACCGTCGGATTTCCGCAAGGGTGAATGGCTGCAGGTGACTCTGTGTTCCTCCCACTGTTGCCATTGGTCAAATTGATGTTTTCTATCTGACTTTTAAATGTCTTTGGCTTAGAGTGGTCAGAATTGACACCATCGTAGTTCACAGTTCCGTTGATCCCTTTTGGGGTTTCAATGGTTCTTTCCTCTTCCTCTTGGCTCTCGTCTTCCTCCTCTTCCTCCTGGGACTCCTCTTGTTCCTCCTCCTCTTCTGTATACACCTCCTCAGAAACCTCACTGTTACTCTCTGTGAAGATTAGCTCTTCCTCACTCTCTTCTTTGTCTTCTTCTGCAACCTGGAGAGTTTTAATGAACATTTTATTAATTTATAACAGTAGCATATGACAAGTAACAAGTCTCTAATGAAAGATATTAATAATCCCCTGCTTCTGAGCTCTCTCCTTGAGGTAGCCAAGGTCCATATTTTGTTATATAACCATCAAACAACTTTTTCTATGCGCATTTGTTTTGCACAGAATATCAAGCATTYGACTTGTTGAGTACCAGTATATTATCATTTTGCCATGTGAGCAAATGGTCAGAACCTCAGTTTTGGAAAACTACTGATAATTTACTTTGTCTTCCCACTATGGGCTCTGCACTACTTGATTCCTTGTCTACTTAGAGTTTAGCAAATTCAGGCCTCCATCTGGCATCAGCTCTTGGTCCCTTCTTATTTCTCCATCCTGAGCAAAAAAAATAAAATAGATAAATAAATACACACACACACACACACACACACACACACACACACAGTGGTAATGTGTTTGCTTTATCTAGTGTTAATAAATTCTCCCCCAGGGCTGGGGATGTGGCTCAAGCGGTAGCGCGCTCGCTTGGCATGCGTGCGACCCGGGTTCCATCCTCAGCACCACATACCAACAAAGATGTTGTGTCCGCCGAGAACTAAAAAATAAATATTAAAAATTCTCTCTCTCTCTCTCTCTCTCTCTCTCTCTCTCTCTCTCTCTCTCTCTCTCTCTCTCTCTCTCTCTCTCTCCTCTCTCACTCTCTCTTTAAAAAAAAAAAATTCTCCCCCAAATTTTCTGGCAATAGCAGATGTAACCTGGGCCAATTGCTTTCTATTTCTCTTGTCTCAGTGTAGACAGAAGCTGAGGTGTCATTTACTCCTCCACAATTATCTACTTCTGTGATAGAGCGAGGCCCAGGGACCCAGAGGCTCCATATCACCTGTGAACTGTTGCTCCTGACAGCAGGGAGGTCAAAACCAGGCTCTCTGCAGAGAAACATTCAGATTACCTTTTCCAGCAATCACCTGGAAACCTCTAGTGAGCTCAGAGTTCAGTAAGATGGACTGCAGACAACTAGGAGGGAAAGAAGATCACTCTGGCACCCACTAGATTCTAACCAGTAACATAGATCAGCAGAAAATAGTAGAAAATTGTGAAGCAAGTCTTTGCCCAGTCTGGTGTTTTTAAGTTATTTTACACATATCATTTACGAAGGACTTTCAGGTAAACACAGTTTCATACTATCTTTGTCTTTCCTGTTTACAGGATTCACTGTACAAAGATGCCCACATGAACCCTTCTTTCTTTTTCTTGTTATCTTTAATGATTTAAAAAAAAATGTCTGGAAAGTGCTGACAGAGCCTGATTTTCCCTCATGCTCTCTTTTGAGTCCTTTATCCTCTCTGAAGCCCTTGGGTTCTCCCCTGTCTCCAAAGCTCTGAAGCTTCCCTCTACATTGGAAGGTTGTTTTCRACTCTWAGGGCTGCTGCYGCCTCAGGCATGTGGATCAAGCTTTGGAAAACACTGCAGCTGTCTCCAAGTTTGTTTGCCCAGTTGCTATCACAAAATAGTCTCCAGAAATCTACTTGTGTGGAGTGGCAGGCACCAAGTGATGGCCTGGGAAGGGGTCAGCCCCTCCTAGGATGACTTATCCAGTTTTAATTTGCTTACTTCTTTGGGAGCAGAAAGGAGAGGGATGGTGTGTGTGTGTGTGTGTGTGTGTGTGTGTGTGTGTGTGTGTGTGTCGGGGAAGGGGGACTGGTGGTGGCTCTCTGCCAGTCACATCTCAACAACACACACACACACACACACACACACACAAGAAAGAGTTTGGCTCTGGTCAAGCCCATTGGCATAGATGAGGAATAAGAGAGGGCCAGCCATGGAATAAATGGATTACCTGGAGGAAGTAAGAATTGCAGACAGACAGTTCTCACTACCACCCCAAATCCCTTTATACATGTTCTTATAATCCTAGCCCCTGTCAATTATGTGTGTGTGCACACATGTCTGAAAGTGTGTCTTAGTTTTTTTAGCCTTTGGAGAAAAGGAATCTCTCTCAAAATCCAAGGCATGCTGCCTTTTCCGCCACTGTTACATTTCATGCTCTTTGGTTTTCATGCTCAGAAGTCCTTTAGGCTCTATTTGCAAGAGATGTTTCCCCCTCGAAATATACCTGGAAAGATAATATCTGATCCTTTATCTAGCAATGTGAGTTGTCAGGTAACACCTAAATGATGCCTCATAGAAAACTTTCTTTGATGCTCCTTCAAATTATCTGTGCAATGTGTTCCCCATAGTATTTTATCTCCCCCAACAAACTACCTATCACATTTTATTATAAATACGTGTTATTTTTTCCTATAGACTCTTATCCGGGTGACAGCAGGGACCSTGTCAGGTTTGCTTACCTAGCACAGTGTTTAGCATGTAGCAGGGACTCCGCAATTGTTTTATTTACTGAAGGAATCTAAACTGACATGGATTAACAGCTGCTCACTGTTGGGACCAGACCTYGGAGAAAGCATGATCAGGTCGGGTGGAGGTAAGGCAGTCAGTCAACTGTCCTGCTTTATGTGCCTTAGTCTGGAGAGCCTCCTAAGATGCAGGATTGTTAGTTGTAAAATCTAGAGATTCCTGAGCCATCTGAGATGGTCAGTTACCTCACATGGGGGAATGTCTAGAAGAAGAACAACAGAAAGGGACCTAGAGAGGGGAAGTAGATACGGATGAGGTTCAGAAACTTTGCCTCTAAACTTTATAAATTATTCCTGCACTAGGGGATAGACATGTCCTGTTTGCCATCACTTTGGAGAATGGAGGTGGGAAGTTGGATGGTGAGGTGGGAACGGGGAGGTGGTCAGGGAGAGAATAGAGAGAAGCACGTACTTTTAGAGAATGAGTAGGGCGACAAGAGGGAGGTGGCCAGCCATTTCTCCTAATCGCCTCTTTGGCATCCCTACATGAACAAAGAGGCGAGAGGCTTGGTTTTTAGTTCTGGTTCTGTTTCTGCCCATAAAGCAAAACAAAACCAAATCTGGTTGACTTTAGGTGACTCACTAAACTTCTCTGTCTCAAAGAAACTACAGTAGAGTTAAGTGATTTTTAAAGTCATAATCACCTAGAGGCTGATGGGTTCCCTTCCTAGAGTTTCTCATCCAGAAGACATTGGGTAGCCCTGAAACATGCAGCTTTATGAAGTTCCTGGGTGATGCTGATGCTACCGGTTGGGCACCCGCAATTTTAAGAACCATAGTCTCTGTGCCAACAGAATCTAGTTTGAATTTCAGTTCTTCTTACAAGCTGTTAACCTCAAATAAGTTTCTTAAACTCTCCTAGTCTCACTTCTCCTGCACAGAAGGGTAAGAATGAAATGAGATAATGTGAAGAAACTCACTGGCACCTGCAGAGAATCCCACAGCTACTCAAATGAGGGGAGCTGGATGGCTGGACCATTGTGTGTCCATCTGGACCCCTGGAGCTTTCACATGCATACATTTGTGTGCACCAGGGTGGGCAGAAGCCACGTGTTGCACAGGATTTTCATAAGCCTTTACAGAGCCAGGAGCCTGACCTCCCCAAACCACCAGCTCCTTCTCATGGTCCCTGATGCACAGCTTGTCACTTACACAGCTGCCCTGCTCCTCTGCCCTCCTCAGCTGCTCTGAGTCTTTTCCTGTGCTGGGAATGGATTTACACCCTCCATCCGCAAGCTTCTGCCCTGAACTCCTTGTGACTAGAGGGACAGCTGGCCAGCCACGGGAAAGTGTGGTGGGAGGAAAGCTAACTAGCTGAGAAAGGAATCAAAGTTCATAAACAAGACAGCCTCTCTAATTGGGCTGATAAGCCACTGGCAGAGATCAGCAAAACCTTTGGCAGGATCAGGTGGGTTTCACCAACAGCTGACAACAGCTTGTCCTTTGGTTCCCACCATTGTCATGACATTATGACATTAAAATGCCTTTGTCGGGTTATTGCTGTAGTTGTCTATATGTCCTGGGTATTCAAAGACAATTTTATTCTTTTTATGAAGGAAATTCTTTAATAACTGTAATAAACATGCCACTTTATTTCACCAAACTTTTAACAATCATTCCCACATCAGATTTAAAAACAAAAAAAAAAATAAAAATAAAACTTCTTAACATGATGGTTGTGGAGGAATTGACTGGCCCAAATCCTGACTGGTCATGTGTGTGCCTTCTCATTTCCCCTTCTAGTTTCTTAATACAGGCCGTGACTGTGGCCTTGGCAGACCCTGTCCTGATCCCAGTGGCCCTTCCTGCAATGATTGACATGGACAGAACTCACACATATCTATCTTGCTGCAAATGTGTCTTACACACCTATCATCAAGATCACAAACAACAGTACCCAGATTAGTACTGTGGCAGCTTGTGGATGGCATGGAGCCATTTTGATTGTAGGTGATTTCTATGGAGTGCAAGAGTTTTAAACTATTCTCCTGATTTGTATTGTTCCACAAATTCAGAATTTTATTTGTCATGTTAACATTTCTTACATTATCACATCCTTCTTGGTCTAATGACTTTCCCAGAGCATAGTTTTTTGAACCTCCCTCCAGTCATGATTTTTTGGACAGATTGAAAGTCACTGTTTACTGGGCAGTACCCAAGAGCTTAATAAACCCGAGTTCTCTGATAAGACCACATTTCCTAGCCTCAAGAATCACCATCATAAAATAGAAAGGATTCAGGGATGATTCCACAAGCGTACTTAAGCTGGGTCCTTAGAGGGCTTTCATCATTTTGAAATTGTATGCAAAAGTGTGTGTGTGTGTGTGTGTGTGTGTGTGTGTGTGTGTGCGCGCACACACACATGTGCATTTTTTTTTTGAAGAAGTCTAGAACTTATCAAAATCTCGAAGGGCTTCTTGATTCACAAAAGATACATGCACTGAGCTCCCTCAATGTACACACAGAAAGAATCCTACAGAAGTGACCATCTAGTCAAAGTTTAGCTGTTTGGGGACAGAGCAGGACTAGTAGCCCCTTGGCTCAGCTCCATGGGCTTCCCACCAGCCTACACTTCTTGGTGTTGGAAACATGGAACTATTTTTTTTTTTACTGTAGCCATTACTGCAGTCAAAGCAACACAGAACAAATGGAACTGAATAGAAAGTACACAGAAACAGATACTATGTCTTGTCACCAACTTGCAACTAAAATAAGACTTAGGTTTGGCAAAATATTTAAACTCATACCTTGATTGTGAATAACTCCCCTCTTGAAGTTCCCACATTTAGTTAAAAAAAAAAAAGGCCCAGCTAAGAGTTTTTTAACTGGTATGATCCATGGGTGGCTACAAAAGTTACAAGACTATTTCAGCCTGAGAAATGTCTCAGTAACAAGTACAGATGAGTTGTAAGAAGGTTAAAGTCATGAGGACTGAAAAGTTAGAGGAAACAGAGTGTCTGGGCTTGGGGTTGGGGAAGGGCAGTGGGAGCAGCTAAGGAAAAGTCCCAAGGAGCCTACCTTTCCACACTCCCCCAGCCTCTCCTTCTCCAGGAGTTTTTGGGACTCCTTTTCCCAATAGGCCAACAGTGCCTCTCTGCTGAAAGTCCCTGTGGGCGTTTTCTCAGTCTGACTCTTTTGCCTTAGCCCCACCGGAAGGTTGCGGTCAGGTTCAATATCTTCCAGTTCCCTCTCCAGCTCCTTCAGCTCCTCAGCTGACAGGGAGGCCAGGAGTTCGTCCTCATCGATGGATTCATATTTACTAAGTCCTCTTCTGTAGCCAAAGGTAGACATGGTCCCTGCTTCGTCAGACCCCCAAGGAGCTGGAAGAACTAGGCATTCAAGGTAGCCAGAGKCAGGCAGGGAGGCAGGCGGGCAGGCTGGTCAGCAACTGGTGCTAGGAGTGGCTGCAGTAGCCTTTTAAGAGTGGTGATCCAGGGCTGTGACAATGCAGAGGGGGTGAAGGCATGGGCTGTTTTAAGCATCACACGTCAGCTAGACATTTGAACACAAAGAATGTCACATCGGTGGTGGATGGAGGTCTCAGAACCAGTGGGGATTATTAGCATAGTGGCCAGGGCCATATTTAGCTGAGCCTGATAGCTAATGAGGACAGGCAGAGAGTGTTTCAGATAGGGAGTGACATGGCTCCTCTCACTTTGTGTTCAAAAGCAAGGGAATAAAATATGTTTCAAAAAACGACCTGCCACTACCACCACAGCCATGAAGAGATTCTTTCATTGTCAATTTAGAGGTTGAGCCATGACTCCGCAGTACCCTAGGGGCAGATTTTCTGGTCTTGTATAAATATAACATAGGTGGTGGGAATGGGGACAGAGATCATAATAATACAGTGCTTTATAATTTTATTGTACTTCACAATTTACAAAGCACATTTATATAATTTTCCTAATCATAAGTCCTGTGAGATAAATAACATGATCCTCATTTACAGATTTTGGCAATTGAGACTCTGAGAGATTAAGTGAAAAATTTGAACCAGACAGCTGGGAAGGCAGAAGTAAATTTGTCCACTGCACCAAATGGCTTCCTTCCCCACCTCATGAGCACTAGTAAAAAATTAGATCTTCAGATAAAACACAAAATGATAAGTAATAATCCTGGGTATAATTTCTTAAGGACTCACATGATGCTAGCCCAGTGCTAAGCATTTTAAATATTTTATCATCTCCCTCAACACAGTCCTTTAAAGTGTATACCATTGCTCATACTTTACTATTAAAGACCCAGAGAAGTTAAATAATTAACCTGGGAGYACAGAGTTAAAAAGGAGTAAAGATAGAATTTCAACCTAGATTTGTATCTGAGCTGAAAATTGAAGGAATGCTAATTTGTAATTACACATATGCACATATTCTTGTGAATGTGTTAAAATATATATAATTGTTTACAGGACTAGCATAGTTATATAAAACTATTAAGATGTGTATGCATGGTACATTTTAATACTTGTATAATGTAAGTATTTCATTTATACATTCAATAGTTGGTGAATATTTGGGCTTTTCTAGGTTTGGATTATGAGTGATACTTCTGTAAATATGTAGCAGATAAATCTTAGAGTGGTTATATATTTTCATGTTTCTTGGGTAGATACGTATAAGTAGAGTGATTGGACTATATGGTAAATTCACTTTTTAAGAAACTGCAAAAGTGTTTTCCAAAATGGCTGCCCCCATCAACATTTCATGTCAGTAAATGAAAGTTTCTGTTTCTCTACATCCTGATCTGTTATTGTTGGTCTTTCTGATTACAGTCATTTTAGTGAGTGTGAATGGTTAGTCTGAATTTTAATTTCTCTACTAATGATATTGGGCACTATCTCATGTGTTTATTGGCCATCTTTTCTTTGGTAAAATACTCTCATTTTATGCTTAAATCGAGATATCTTGCTGAGTTATAAATTTATCACAGTACTGTATCAGATATATGATTTACATATATTTTCTCCCATTCTGTGGCTTATCTTTTAGTGTCTTTTGAAGACCATGTTTTTAATTTTTTTAAAAATTAAAAAATTTGTTTTAATTAGTTATACATGTCAATTGATTTTTGTGCAGAGTGAAAGACAGGGGTTTAATTTCATTTTGCTGCATAAGGATTTCCAGTTTTTCCAGCACTATTTGTTGAAGAGGCTCTCTTTTCTCCAATGTATGTTTTTGGTGCCTTTGTCTAGTATGAGATAAATGTATTTATGTGGGTTTGTCTCTGTGTCCTCTATTCTGTACCATTGGTCTACATATCTGTTTTGGTGCCAATAATATGCAACTTTTGTTACTATGGCTCTGTAGTATAATTTAAGGTCTGATATTGTGATGCCTCTTGCTTTACTTTGCTTTATAAGTATTGTTTTGGCTATTCTGGGTATTTTATTTTTCCAAACGAATTTCATGGTGGCTTTTTCTATTTCTATGAAGAATATCATTGGGATTTTTACAGGAACTGCACTAAATCTGTATAATACTTTGGGTAGTATAGATAGTTTGACAGTATTAATTCTTTCTATCCAAGAGCATGGGAGATCTTTCCATCTTCTAAGGTCTTCTCAATTTTTTTCTTTAATGTTCTGTAATTTTCATTGTAAGAGGTCTTTCACCTCTTTTGTTAATAGATTTCCAAGTTTCCAATTTTTTCTAAGGCTACTGTAAATGGGGTAGTTTATATTTTTAATTTTAATTGCCCAATTTATCATTTTTTTCTTCTATTACTTATGTTTTGGCATTATAGTTAAATAATTATTTCCTAGCCAGGTGTTGTGGTACACACCTATAATCATAGTTATTCAAGAGGCTGAGAGATTGAGGAAGACTGAAAGTTGAAGTAGCCCTAGCTCTGAGCTAGAATGTTCCTGGATTCAACCCTTCATACTGCATAAAGAAATAATTTCCTAATCCAAGCCCACAGAGATTTACTCTATGTTGTATTCTAAGGGTTTTTGTAATTTTAGGTTTTTATATTTAGGCTTATTATCATTTTGACTTAATTTCTGGATAAGTGTAGGGTGAGGATACAAAGTCATTTTTTTTGCATGCAGATATTCAGTTATCTTAGCATTGCTTATTAAAAAGCTTATCTTTTCCCCTATGGAATTGTCTTGGCCATGTGTGGAAAAGTAATTGACCATAAATTAGTGTGTATTTCTGGACAGTCATTTCTGTTTGATTAAGCTATGTGTCTAGACCTCTGCCAATACCACATGGTCCTAATCATTACAGATTTGTAGTATATCTTGAAATTAGAAAAAGCAAGTCATCTAACTTTGGTTTTTTGCAAGGATGGTTTGGCTGAATATTTTGATTTTAACTCCTTATGGCATTCTGCCTCCAAAAATAACTATGATACTTTTCAGTGATGCTGATTAGAGAGGTAAGGATGAAATAGGACATAATAACTTCACTTTTTTAGGTTAATTTTATTTTTTTAAATAATGATATGTGTTCATATTTATGAGGTACTATGTAATACTTTCTTTCATTTATGCATTGAGTTATGATCAAATCAGGCTGATTTGCATCATTTGTTTGTTYGTTTGTTTTTTTATAGCCTGTGGCATATATTCTTGTGTTGCYTCAATGGAAATGCATCTTTACTATTTGAAAATGAGTTAGATTTTTGGCAATGGCATCAAGGGATGATAGCTAAATCTTGTGAATGAAATGAGTTATTCAGCTTTGTAATTGTACTTTAGATAAAAATGCTGAGTTATGTAAAAACCTTTTTTTAACAAAAGAGAAAATATATACAAATGATAGCACAAAATCCATTCTTTCATTAATTATTAGATATACGATATGTTGACCATTGTGCAAGTTTTGAATATATAATTATGTATAAAAATAGTGGAATTGTATTTGACTCTCACATTTGTAATTAAATATATATGTATATAGTATGTATATATAAATACATATAGCTAATTTTTATTTTATAATTTACTAAGCACATACTGCATGACAGATTCTAATTTAATTGCTGGGGTTAGAACAATGAACATTACTAAGCTAGTCTCTTCTCTGTTGGAGCTTATGTTCTTGTTCTGARAGACAGATAAAATATAAATAAGCATGTAAATATGGAATACATCAGATAGAAGTTCTATGAGAAAAGCAGAACTGGGTAACAGGGAAACAAGAAGGTGGTGTGGGCAATAGTTCCTACAGGAAGATTTCCATAATGAGGTGGCATTCAAACCCAGATTTGGAGAAGTAAGAGCTCGATGCACGTAGATTGTAATAAAAACTTTGTGTGACTATAAAATATTGTTCAGATATTCTTAGACTCACAAATCTCAGATTCAAAGGACCTTGAAATAATCCTCTTTTTATAACTTCTATAAGGGATGGTTTTGAACATTGTTGGTGAAAATGGTACTTGCCAAAAGTTCATTGCATTCTTAGGTAGATATTTTCAAATATGCAGATTATTCTTTCTATTGTGTTGAAACTGATTGGAAAATCAGGCCATATAATTTTAGTTCTCTCATTGGAACAATACAAGATAAATATAGTGACATGTGAGTTTCTTCTGCCAAATATCAGGTGTCCCCTGAATGATTCTGAAGGTGATTCCAGAAGAAGGAGCATTAAAGTGTCCTGCTAATTGGCAACATCTCTGAAAAAAAAATTTGCTTCCCAAGGACACTACCTTCAGAACGATCATTTAGAGACTGTGAATATTTGTTATTACAAATCACTCTGATCATGATAATAATCACAACTCATGCACCATGCTAGTTCACCGGATCTTCTCCAGAAACCTTAAATATATTGGATAAAATCCATTAACTGACCAAACACTGTCACCTTACCCTGACTAGAAATAACTATGATGAATAATTTAGCAGCATTTTATTCTTTGGCATGTTTACTTGGTCATATTGTTTTTTTATGTAGAATTGTTTTTTAGAATCAACAACACGATAAGCCTTGAAAAAGATCAGCATCTTTTATTTTTTTAAAAAAAATTCTATCTTGGGAGGAATTTTGCAGTTTTTGATCCTCAATTATCAGGAGACTCTCATTATCTGGCAATTACCTTTTTAGGAATCATTGATCTTTATCTTTCAACTTGATTTTCCCTTTTAGTTTCTTCTTGAAATGTTTGTTTGTTTAACACACATTTACCAGCTACTTGTCCTGGAATGTCTGTGTTGGAAGCTAGGATTACAAACAGAAAAACAGAAACCGATCCAGGCTCTGCCCTCAACGAGTTCAGATGCCTGGCAGAGAGCAGACAGCTGGCGACCACGCAGTGCATGGCACCTCCAGCCAGGCGGAGAGGGGAGGAGACCAGTGAGCATCGATGAAGATGTGAGTGGAGTCAGAGATGAGGCAGAAACTGGTGTGATTTATTAATGCTTGAGTGTCTCACTCTCACCCGCTATTTAATGTCCCCGCACTGGGTAAGTGTTTACAGGTGTTGAATATTTGATGTG